CTTACCAATCTTAGACTTAGGTCCCAAGTTCAAACCTAACACTTTTGATTAATAAAGATAATAGTCATGAATTGAGAAAGTACCACTAATTGATTGTTATGTTTTTCTTTTTAATGGAGTTAAGGAGTCGAACTTGTGACTTCAATCACACCAATTTAAACTACATTTGGCACCCTTCTTCTTTTTTCTCCTTTTTTTGGGTCTCTCTTCTTTGCAAACCCCTACAGAACCAACTTCTTTGACAAATAAACCGGGCAACTCACTCCCCCGTCATGTTGTAGAGAGATTTTAATCCCTAGTTTTATGTTGGGTTTTGATTCTCCCCAGTTTTGTGCTCGGTTTGGTTTATCCCCAGTCCTTTTGGACTAACTTTTAAAATCTTTTATGTTGAGGAGGTAGAGTTGTTATATTTAGATGGATCTTTCATACTGGGTGTTGTGAGATCATGTGGGATGTTGGAGGTGTTGTGGCCTTCTTTGGCCAAGTGAATGTTGAGCGGTAATGCCCTTTCACTTTTGGTGCTTATGGTTCTCTATTCATACAAAATTAGTTGTTCTCATGGTCTCTCTGTAGCACTAGTGTTGTAAAGAGTCTTCTTGATCCTCTATATGTCAACTCTAAGTGAGTTGGACTTGAATTTGTGATAGTTATTACTCACTGTCTTGTTGGATTTATTTTTTCTGCTTCATTGTATGCAAGAACCTTTATTTGGGGTGTGTTCTTCTTGTACATCTCTTGTATTTACCCCTTTATTAATGAAATTCTGCTTGTTCTAAAAATAAATAAAAACTTGTGGCTTTAATTAATATTATGGGGAAAATTACCATTAAACTTAGAGCTAATAGGTAAAATTTTATTAGTTTTATTCTAACCTTTTAAAATTAGGAATTACACAAGTTACTAAGTTTTTGGCAAGATATACATATTTATGAAGATTATATAAAATAAAATTTGAGATATTTCTATGAGGTAGACAAGATTGATGACCTAATAATCTTTTCATATAAAAATAAGTGAATCTTATCCAAAATTCATAATAGCTACTAAACAAAAATTGAGGATATTATGAAATATGTCGAAACATATTATAATTACTGTGAGTATGGCACAAAATTTAGGGTCGTTCCAGGTTTTCTAATGGTAAGATCACAAAGAGGGCCACTAACTAGTCCCTAATTGGTTTTTCCATACATTAATCGCTTTCTTATTAATATAGAGTGCTTCCCATGTCCTATTTCTCCACCCACTTTATTTTTAAAATTTTAACGACAAATTTACCGTTTTATAAAATGACTTCTAAGGACCTAAGGAAAAAACTTCACTCATAAGAATATATTTATTTATTTTAAAACTCATTCTCTTTCTCTCCCCATTGCCCAACCACCACTAACCCCCTTCCCTGACCTCTACTTTATTTCCATTTCCTCCTAGAACCATTGCAGGTCCACACAAACTGGTAATCAAAAGTTTGTACAAAAACAAACAAAAGGAAAAACCCAATTTGCTCTCTTTATTCCTCTCTGTCTCTCATCACTCCCTGTGTTTGATTTGTGCTACCTAACCCAAAACCCAAACATATTATTTGGTTGAAAGCTCAAATGAATTAAAAGAAAAAAAAACCCACTTTTATGGATCTCTTTATTCACTCTTTGTTGCCCCATTTCATACAATATTGTTGGGCTCATGGTGAGGGAATGGATTGTAGTGGTATTAAGACGGGCATGGATGATAGTGGGGTATTGGATTGGTTGCATAGATTGTTTGCACCTTAATCAACCGAGCACATTCGACACTGGGGGACTGGCGCATTGACAAGCACATCGACTGCCAAAGGAAAGACACTTTTAGGGTAATCCCTAAAAACAGTGATGACATCATCCTCTTCTTAACCTGCCAAAGGAATAACTCCCTTTGAAGTGGTAATTGCCTACCCAAGACAGTTGCCAAAGCTCCCAACTATATAACATAAAACCTTGGACACATGTGGCCACCACAATGATTCACACAAAGTCTCACATCAAACTTTGTGCAAACTCTCACTGTCATTTCTCAATAAAAGAGGAATAGTGCCAAAATAAAAAAGGTAACTAGTTTTCACCTTTACTGTTACTTTGCTAAAATCACTGCATATCCCACGCTTTATGATCAAAGGCCTCTCCTTGCCGAAGGTCCATAACCCTCTTGTCTTGCTGAAGACTCTACATTTCATCTATCTAAGTTGGAGCCCGATTTTAGGCATCAACATAGACAATGCAACAATTAACGATCTAGAGGAGCATTGGTCTTTTGGGTGAGGGGTTGATGTGGATAGGGGAAAGTGGGCTGTGAGGGTGGTGGGTTTGTGAGAGTTTGCAGTGGTGCAGGGAAGGGGTCGATGATGGCAACTGGGCAGTGGAGATAGGAGATGGATTTATTTTTATTTTTTTTTCAAGATCTCATTTTAATAGTTAAATTAGGTTTTTATTATTTGTTTTCTTGCACACATGGCATACATTTCACAGGAAAAATGTGTCTTGAAGTTAAAGTTACCTACTTTGGTTGAATTAATAATTAAAGGGTATTTTAAAAGTAATGATGGGTGAAAAGATAATAATTATATTTTTTTTTCCAAATTTACATAATAAATGAAAATACAAAATAAGTGGAAAAATAAATAAAGGGTAAAAATAGCAGCACTATAAAATATATTGAGAGAACCCCAGAAGTCTCTTTTACTGTCAAATGCATGTTTTTGCCCAACGCATCCGCCCTTGAAAGCCAATTCCAAATTTGCAACTGTTTGATACAATTAATTCAACTATATTATATATGGCTTGGTCTTGTATGACCATTCCATGCATGTGCATCGACATGATCGAAAAAATTGCAGTCTAAGAATAAGAAAACATTTTTTTAACCCAAAAAAAGGATAAGAAAACATTTCTTTATAACAATGAATTTGAAAATATGATTACAATATGAATATTAAGATTTCTCCACAATATGAGAATCAATCCACCTTTTGTCCACATGCAACACATGTGTATTAGTTTTCTTTTTTAGTACAAGCGATTGGGAGAGAGGGGGTTTACACAAATATTCATTGGCTGCTTGGGGTTTTAAAATTCTACCCACATGGACGAAATGAAAGTGAAATAGCTCAACCAACCGAACTATACCACCAACACATATGTATTAGTTAACTACCTCTAAATTCTCATATGTTAGTGTGTAGTGAAAGATTTGAAAATTAATGTTCCAGTTTGTGAGATCATAAATGTATTTCATTGAACTCATTTAATCTCAAAATATTCCAAGTTATATGCTCGGGTATGTGTAGTTGAATTTGTTAGGACATTGTTAGGGTATTTACATTTATGCAAACGAAGTAATGTATGATAGAATTATATCCTATGACTCAAAATAAATTGTTAATGAACGAAGAAACTCAAAAGATAATATATCATTATGCAAAATACTACCCTCAATAACAAGCATAAACATAATTAATCAATAGCAAAACAACATGGAAACGAAGAGCTCGCACCTCAAGAGTTTGATATGAAGTGTCTATTTCTCATTTTATGGAGGACTATTATATTACAACTAGTAGCTTTTATGGTAGTTAGATGCTTTTAAAAAAAAATATTATATATATTTTAATTAATAATTATTGGATCATTGAAATCAAAACTTACTTAACAAAGTCGATGAGGTCTAGCCTATTATAAAAGGATCTTGACATACAAATCAGTGATATCAAGTTTGAATTCCCATGATACCTTGATAATATTTTGTGTAAGAACACCCTCTCTTCCTCCCTAGCGTTAGCCAATATATATCACTAAATTTTAATATGTGACATAGCTTCTTTATGAATGTTTAGATTTTAGCCTCTACTTATCTGACTTTCTGTTGTCCATCAATTAAATTTTGCATAAGAAAGAGTCACCTAAAAAACTCTTCCACCTATTTTCACCTCACAATAATTAAAAAAGGAAAATTCCAAATTCCGAACTTCAAACTCCAATACTATTATTTTCAATTATATATTTTTTTTTGAGAGACTTTTCAATTTTATATTTAGTCATGATGGAAACCATAATATTTTTTCCTTATTCACAAATTAAATCGACTAATCAAATTCATGTTTCTATAATAAATTCTATCCGATCCCTTATAACAGCCATTCATTGGAGGATGCCTGAAATTGTGAAGTAAAGCGACATCAAAAAGCCGAAATTTCAAATATATTTCATATTACAAGTTTAAAGTCCAACAAAAATATTTATTTCAAACCTTACCATATTCTTATCATATTTGATGTCCATTTAAAAAAATTAAACTTTATAATTTAATTATTAACTTTCAGTTGAAACTTAATTTTCATACAATAATAAATCATTTGATAAAAAAAAATCAGAATTTTTTTTTTTGCTTTTATGTTCTATAATAAAAACCAAATATTAATATTAGCAAATTATTTTTTTGAAACAAAAGGAAATTATATTAGCAAATGATAAAATATAGTAATTAACGCAAAAACAAAAGGGAAAAGATTGGACAGGTCTCGTCTAAGGCGTGTAGCAGTGTATTAGTTTGACATTTCAATGGTCTTTGTTTCTCTCTCTCTGAAAATATTCTTATTCTAGTCTTCTTTCTTCTAGAGAAAAGAGAGAGAGAGAGGGGGTCGCCGGCCAGCCACCTTGTAGAGAGGGAAAGAAAGGAGACACTTTCTTCCAAACCCTCTCTCTAAAAAAGTCAATACAATCCAAATCTTCAAAAGCTCAAAACCCACCCACCCCTGTTATCGCCAATACCAATTTACACAGAAAATCAACCAAAAAGAAACACAACCCCTTACCCAATTCTCCATCTGTTCGTCTCTTTGATCATTTACATACCCAATCCTTCATTTCTTTCTTACAGGTCGAGTGGGTTTTTTTATATTTTATATTTTATAAAATTTTAAAAACAAAAAATTTTAAAATCTTTGCTGGGGAAGACAGGGTTTGTCACTGATGAGTTCCAATACGGCGCCGTCTAGCTCAGGAGGCGCCGGATCTGCCGATCCAACATCTACCAGGAGGCATTCCAAGCGACCCAAATGTAATTTCCTCCCAAAGCCCTCAGCTTTTGTTTTCTTTTAAGGTTTTGAGTTCTTCTCAAGAATACCCAGATGATACTTTGTGGATATTTGCCTGTGGGTTTGCCATTCTCGCTTTCCAGTTATCTGATTTACATGTTTTTTTTTCCTTTTCTAAATTAATATTTTTATTCTTTAAATTTATTTCTGTATCTCGAGATGTTCCTGTCTGATATTTATTTGCTGAGTTAGTTTCATAAGATTTCAGAAGTCAATGATATACCTGAGATAGTTCATTAAGTTTGTGAGAGCAAATCTGAAAACTAGGCTGTCTTCATGCAAGGGGCTTGTAGCTCGTGTGGTTAAAAGCATTTACCCCTAGGTCCTAGGTTAAATACCTCCTTCCCCCAGTATTGTTTGTATCAAAAATTCTGAAAACTAGGCTGTGTTCATTAATTCAAAAGCAAAATTAAGAAGACTCAGTTAAACATCGAAACAAATTACTCTTCTGATTTTATAATTTTTTATTTTATTTTTAATATTTAGAGGCATTAAAGCTTGTATGCATATAATATCGGGTGGCCTAACATAGATAATGAATACTTAGGAGCCCATACCATTCCAATTACTTTGACTTTAATCAAATTTGTAAGGCAGGGTAACTAGTGTTGGAAATCTTTTTGTAATTCAATTGTGGGATGAAAGTCTTGTGATGGTAATCTAAGGGTATCTAACATTGGAGAATTAGGATGCGGTCCGGTGTACTAATATTTGGCAAAATAGATGGGCGTGCCACACACTTAACGCTTTCAGCCAATCTGTGAAATCTGGGTCCGCCTAAAGCTGACATACTGATATGTACAAGACGTTTTTCCATTGTTTTTCTTGTTTATCACTTGATACGGTGTAGCTGGGCATTGAAAAGCCAACTTCATGCCTTCAAACTGTAATTCACATGTTGCTCAGTAGCCTTTCTATCAATCATAAACTAAAGAGATTATAAAATTTGATATTTTCAGATTCAAGATTTACTCAGCAGGAACTTCCAGCGTGCAAGCCAATTCTCACGCCACGATGGGTACATTTTATACTATTGTACCTGATATCCCCTTAGCTACGGTATCCGCATACCTTTTAAAATTTAAATTGAACTATGGCCTTATCTCTTTATGTGTGTACACGCTTGTGCTTGCAGGTGATCTCAGCATTCATGCTTGTAAGCATTGTCTTCATTCCCATCGGAGTTGTTTCCCTCTTTGCTTCTCGAGACGTATGGCTAAATGAAACCCAATTCTATGCATAATTTGTTTATTCTTTTCTAGTTCTACATGCAGTTGATCAGGAAAATGTTTCTATCAGGTTATTGAAATTATTGATCGGTATGAAACTGATTGCATACCAATGCCCTCTAGAAGTGATAAGGTCGGGTACATACAAGGCCCCGGAGATAAAAAATGCAACAGAACTCTGAAGGTAAGGTTCTCCTTCCCCCTCCCCCCTTCCTTTATAATTATCATCAAGGGACTGTAATTGGTGGGTAATCATTGTTGAGCTACCAAGACATCTCTAGAAATTATGCAGTATTATATGCATTTAGATAATTTTTTTATTAGCACTGGAAACTCAATTCCCATATTTGCTGATGGATTTTTTTTTTCCGTTGTGAAGGTAACTAAGAATATGAAGAAACCTATATTTGTATATTACCAGCTGGATAATTTCTACCAGAACCATCGCAGGTATGTCTACTGCTTAGCCATAACCCTCCATTTATATTTAATATGGTTGATGCAATAATATTTATGTGGAAAATCAATGAAAGGGGTGGTTGAATTAAATGCATCGCCAACTTTTATCATAGTTTTATAGGGACCTTGATATTTGTGGGCCATATATGAGCAGGACGGTGGGTAGACCAGGGTCCATGGAAGCTCTTGTAGCAGATAATGACTTATAGTCAAGAGTACCACCCATTTGTTTCATGGGTAATTCTGGGACATGTGTTTTTATATTTTTTTATAGTTGTTGTACAGTCTAGTGAAGATATTGGGTCCTTTATATAGGACCTTAAGTCAGGCACTTGGTCTCCTACAAAATAGAATAAAAACTTAGTCAGTTACAAGTCTTATCAAAAGCTTGTTCCTAATAGGAAAAACTGAAAGTGTATGTAAATGAATGTGAATAGCACCCACTTGTTTCATAGGTAATTCTGGGACCTATTTTTTTATGGTTGTTGTACAGTCTAGTGAAGATATTGGGTCCTTTATATAGGACCTTAAGTCAGGTACTTGGTCTCCTACAAAGTAGAATTAAAACTTAGTTACAAGTCTTATTAAAAGCCTGTTCCTAATAGGAAAAGACTGAAAGTGTATGTAAATGAGTGTGAATTTGCAGACTTATGGATTGGAATAATTTGGCTAATAAAAAATGAGTATCTGGTTTAAGGCATGTGCATTATGTGAATAATTGTTCATGTAATTCAAGCTTCTGCTGCCAGCAAAGCCTAGGGTCTCTCTCATTCTTGATTAATTTCACTCTGCAACTACAATGGATGTTTCCTGGTAGAAAGTTGATACAATTAGCTTTGTGTGGAAAATATATTATGAAGTATGAGATCTTCATTTGGCAAAAAGAAAATATCTGGTCTGACTGTGGCTTTCTACATTTCAGGTATGTTAAAAGCCGAAGCGATCAACAGTTGAGAGATCCAAAGTCTGAAAATCAAGTGGATGCTTGTAAGCCTGAAGATAAGGCAGGTGGTCTACCTGTTGTGCCTTGTGGTCTCATAGCTTGGAGTTTGTTCAACGACACGTATAGTTTTTCACGCAAGAATCAGCAATTGACGGAGCCATTGACAGTGAACAAGAAGGGTATCTCATGGAAGAGTGATAGGGATCACAAGTTTGGCAAAAAGTCTTTCCAAAGAACTTTCAGAATGGAACTCTTAAAGGTGGTGCGACTCTCGATGCATCCAAACCAGTAAGCAATTTGCCACTTCTCATCTCTAGTTTTGAAGTGTTACTATTGCTCTTATGCATCTTTGAAGACTCTGAACCCCAATAAAGTGTTTTTTTTTTTCACTGTCAGAAATAAGGAAAAATGTCTTGTATGACATGGAAGGATATTGTTTTGCTGAAGATGTATTATTTTAATGGTAAAAAAGGAAAGTGGTTAACCAGGTCAATATGTTTTGTTGAACAGTTAAGTGAGCAAGAGGACCTTATTGTTTGGATGAGAACCGCTGCACTACCAACATTTAGAAAGTTGTATGGGAAGATTGAGGTGGATCTGGAAGCAGGTGATGAATTACATGTGACGTTGGAGAACAATTACAACACATACAGTTTTAGTGGAAAAAAGAAGCTTGTGCTTTCTACCACTAGTTGGATTGGTGGCAGGAATGACTTCCTTGGCATTGCTTATCTTACTGTTGGTGGGTTGTGCTTCTTTCTGGCCATGGCTTTCACAGTTGTATATCTTGTTAAGCCAAGGTAAAATCCTAAACCAAATATGCCATTCCTATTTTTATCGTGCAGGGAATATAAATTCTGTTAACAGTTACCTTATATGAACTCCTCCATTTTGTGGCAATATATTTTGTATGGTTGTGTGATCAGTCTTTCAGCATGCATAATAAGAACCAGCAATCGAAAGTGAGTAGATTAGTTCATGCCCAACTAGCTGTTAGGGTAGGGTAGATGGGATTGGTCAAAACAGAGAGATGTGTCCTTTCTGGTCATTGCCCATTTGTCACTAAAGTAACACTCATTGTTAGCAGGGCACTAGAAGATATTTATTATTGGACCACTTTTCCCTTGCACCTCAAGTTCATTCCAGTTTTATTTTATGGCTGGTGCTCTGTTACTAGGGCCGGCCTTTACTTTTCATAACTTGATGTTACTTTAAAAAAAAATCTGGATCTGAATAACTTGATATTACTTGATCATGATTTTTTATAGGAAACAAAATAATGTTCTTATGACACTATCTTTTCTTTCAGGCAACTTGGAGATCCATCTTATCTGTCATGGAACAGAAATCCAGGGGGGCACTAAGGCGTTTTAAACTGCTCATGACAATTGCTTCACTCAAGCGTTTCCTAATGACCGATTTTAATTATTATGTATATTAATGTTTTCAATGTGAGCAGTACATATGACTTTGAGAAGCATTTCGGTCATTTGGAGTTTTCTTTTATTTTTTTTATCCCATTCTCTATTGAGAGTATGACATTATGAACTTTCATGTATAATTCCAGAAATAGTATTGAATACATCCAAAGTTATTTCCATTGATCGATCGCTTTGTTTAAGCTCAACTAAAAAAATATGACTGGTTTTTTCGCTTGTGTTCCCATGTAAATGATTGTCATCTTCAAAGCACTCTCAGAAGGATGTTTGAAAGGTATTTGCCTTCAGGGTAGGATGGGTCAATGGGATGATCACATGCTGCTCCAGCCTCCCGCAGAATGGTTATTTTTCTCCCTGCTGCTGAAGCTGCACCCTGATTAAACAAATAAAAATTAAAAGATAAGTTGAGAAAGATGAAGAGATGCTTATAAAATTAAATAGAATTGCATGACGCTCATTTTGTAACAGCAGATAATTACAGCCAAATTTCACTGAATAAAGTGCTTATGTTATGGCTGATTAATTGCCTGTTTTTGTTATAATTAGTATATACCATTTGAAAATCTACTCATTTTGTCCAAAAACAATTTTGAGAGAAAAACCAGGATTGACCTGAATCTGGAAAGTTCGTCCACAATCGTAACACATGAACCTGAATGAGTAATATTCTTTACATATACGAGGCTCCTTTACATTATGCAATGAGTGATCCTTTCTTTACATAAAATTTAATGACACATGACATCTTACACTGTCAGTATGTCATTTTTCCTATCAACTTTAGTCTGATGAGAATTTAATGGCGTCAAACATTTTGGGAAGGTGGTTATCTTTATAAAAAAGAAATCTTTAGAATTTCACTGGTCAGGGTACTGCACACCTACAGAGTACAACTTGCCTGAAGAATGCGCAAGAACATCCCACTTTGCGTCATAGCTCCTGAACACGAACAAGTCATGAGAAGACCACCTCTCTTTGTCAGTTGCATTGCTAATGAATTTAGATTTCTATACATGCCTGATGCATTTTGTAAAGCCTGGATTCAATAACGACCCAGTAAGAAGCGGAAAAATTCACAAAAGAATCACTTACAGACAGGCAGAGGAAGAAGAAGTAATAGATGGGGAACAAGCAATGCGCTCATATTTCTACTGAAAAGTGATTTTGATCATGAAACAAATGCATTTAACTGATTGTACCTTCTTTCGTGGTGCTAGTTTTGGAGGATCTAAAATGACAATATCCCATGATTCATTCCTAGAAAGAGCACCCTTCATAAACTCACTTGCATCTTCTCTCAAAAATGTTATTCTTCCTGGATCCATGTTGTTAAGGACAATATTTTCTTTAGCTAGCTCAACTGCAGGCAATGATGAATCGACACCTGATGCAATAGAGGAATAATTAGAAACTCATCTAGCTTTGAACATGCAATCTCAAGATGTCTTGTCCAGATGAATTTATAGCATCCAATTCTAGATGCCGTTTTGGAATTTTTTTTTTCAGAGAAGTTAATGTATCTCAAATGAAAAATTCTCGGCTTTCGGTGCCTCCTAAAATGAGTATAATGCTACTATAATGCTAACTCCATGACCTCATGGTGGTTATTAGTTAATCACTGATACCATATGTATATTGACATGCTATAAACAGGCTGGCCAAAACCAAAGTGGTACAAATGCAAGCCTCCATTCCCAAATCAGTAACTGGCCAGTTTCAATGAAGTTCTTATAAAAAGAAAGGTTCTAACTTCAAAGAAAATCATCCGAATACAGTAAAACTTTATTCATACCAATGACATTCACAGCACCCCCTCGTGCAGCATTTAGAGCAAAACCACCACTGTAGCAGAACATATCAAGAACTCTCTGACCATCTGAAATTGTTGACATAAATTGACGGTTTTCACGCTGATCGGCATAAAACCCTGTCTTTTGTCCCTCAAGTGAAATGGCATAAAAAATCCCGTTTTCCGTAACCTAAGTAATTTCAAAATGAAATTAAACAACATTTAAGAGACCTCATAACTGGTTAAAATGTGCAAAATGTAACATTTTGTGGGATATACCTTTGTTCTTTGAGGACAAATAGATGGATCCCTTTCCTTGTAATTTGACGCATCCAATCCTTCTTCTTTTAAAACTTCCGAAGAGGGTCTCCAGTTTATATAATTAATTTCATCAATTCTACCAATAGAAGCCTCTACTTCTGGTTTGTACTTCTCAACCCAAGCAGCAGATGATGCTATTACTGCCACATCTCCAAATACATCAACTATTAGTCCCGACAATCTGTGGTAAAAAGGTGACATGAATTTGTAAATTAGTGACACAGATAATTCTACGTAATAAAGAAAAAGGTGAAAAATCAAGACCAAAAAGCTATGGAGCCCCAAATAACAATTTAGTGTTACCACTAAAAACTAAACATTTCAGATCAAATTATATATATTCCACATATTTCATTTACACTAATTCAATTTCACACTTAACGAGTTTCCTATCAAAATACAACCTTAAGAAGTTGCTCTCAATCCCAATATGCATACAAAATGACATCTAAACATGTTCAACTCCTGGAGGAGCTTAATTATTACTGGTATGTCAAATAATTAGCTTAATGAGTGTGTCTTTAGTTCGGTAGTGCACACACAGATATGGACTTTCTAACAAAAGACAAGGGGAGAATCGTTATCTCATACTCAACTAGCAATGACTTCTAGAGATATTATAGGTGCAATTCTCTGTAAATATACTATCAAAAATCTCAATAGACTAAGATCAAGTACCTGTCCCCTTCACTATTGACAAGACGGAATGCATTTGTACTAGCTGATGGAAGCCCCAAACTCTTACGTAGTTCTATAGCTTCATTAATTCTTGTCTCAAGCAGTTTCTCCATGTTCAATGCACATGACAAATCCCTGTTTTATAAAGGTTAACAATTTAAACATCCATGTGAAGGTGATAATAAGTCAGAACTAGAAAGGCCTCATATGAATAGTACCTCGTTGCTTCCTCTTCCAGCTGCATCAGCCGAACACAGAACATGGAGACGGAATTATACATGCCCCAGCCTATTGGTTTTTCTGCCCCATCAGCTACCAGCACAATGTCTCCAGTCCTAGGTGGTGGTCTACCAATTATTCTATCAACTGCTCCACTGTAAACCATTGGGCTTCCATCCTTGAATAATTGTGTCTTCCCCTTTTTCAAGACGACCCTCGCAACACCTACCAAGGCCAGACCAATTACCATGATGTTTAAGAATTTTTTTTAAAAATTAATCGATGGATTGAAAGCTCATCAAGAAAAGCAGGCATTTCTAGCATCAAAATAAGCTCAAGGGAACAAAAAAAAAAACCTTTCTTTTGGATGATTGGAATTTTTTTAATTTAAGTTGACATGACAATCTGGAATTAGGTTATTTCTAGCAAGATGCAGCATGTAGGAAGATACATGTCGCATTTAGAAGGAGAAAACAAATGACTGGGAAAAAAAACTAAACGGATCATCCACTATCAGGTATATACGTACATGGTTTTGAGCTTGACCGAGACATAATTACAATGAGCGCAAGCATACTGCTGAGTCTCACACAAGTTAGAAAAAATCAAAGACTTTCTTCTTGCATATTATTTCTCCTTGCCCGTGGTGGACCATCTTGCCAACATACAATATACACCCAATCCAGTTATACTTTAAATTGGTAGCTCTGTTTCGATTAAGAAAACAAATTAAACAGACCCAGTAGCCAAAAGCTTCATAATTCACATTTAAACAAACATATGGAATGATGGTTTTAGAGATACCATATGCTTAACAAAGCCCTTATATAATCAAAAATAAGAAAAGAAAAAAAAACTTAATACAAAAAAGAGAGGAAGAGAGAGAGAGAGAGAGAGATAGATAGAAAAGGACATACCTTTGGGGTGAACAGAGGCAAGTTCTTGAAGGGTAGTGGTGCATGGTAAAGAAGTAGCAGACAGAGACTTTACCAGGCGGGCTGGAAGATGCTGCATATTTTTTGAGCTGAGACAACACTGTCATCAAAGTAGACTTATCACTACCCTTTCCATGAGCAAACGATACCCGGTTAAAATCAACATGGGTCGGATTTTCTCTCCTCCAATTTTTCTGGTTCAGTTTTTTGGGTTGGGCTCCATTTATCTAAGGTTCTTAATGGGCCATTGGGAATTTAGCTGCTAAATTGTGCTTGGACAGAACTGCCCACATTCTTGGTTCAATATTATAGATTGCCCATCCATTTTCTTTCTCAATCGCCTCCACACTACCCGCTGCTCACCCAAACCAGTTTGTTTCTCAACTCTCACCATTTTAAGGTACCTACTCCACAGTGTCCAGACAGTGGGTACGCATTAAAAAGCTTGTTCCTTCTTCTTTTTCTTCCTCCTCCGTTCTCGGTATTATTGATTATAAATTAAAAAGCTTGTTCCTTTTGATTGGTCTCTTGGGACGTTTGTGCAACTCGAAGCTGCTGATACAGAAAGGAACCCACCTCAGATAGGCTCAGGTGAGTGGCAAAAACCCATCTTTCTCCGTTAATGAGCTATTTTATGAATTATAGTTTCCTTTTGAACTCTTTGCAACTCTTTCGCATTCCAGTATGTCAAGCCTGAAGAGTCGCTGCTTAAATTGTTGATGAGAATTTTAATTTCCCTCTTGGCAATAGAATTTGTTGCGCAAAATCAATATTTTCTTTTAAACTGGTTATTAAGGGATTGGCGTCTTTGTAATGTTCGGACTTTATTAGTAATTTATATCATTCTACTGGATCCTCTGCTGTCCAATTGGGAATTTCCCTTTATGAATACTTGTCTGGCTTTGTTCTGTAATAGGAAGAAACGGGTCTTTTAAATAACTGATAATTCCTACGCTGATTATGTTTTGTTGGTGTTCTCTGTGTGTGTGTGTGTGTTGATCTTTTAAGAAATTAAGGGAAAGTGAACAATGAACAAGGATAAGATTTTCAAGCTAGCTAAGGGCTTCAGGGGAAGGGCCAAGAATTGCATAAGGATTGCCAGAGAGAGGGTGGAGAAGGCCTTGCAGTATTCCTACAGAGATCGCCGTACCAAGAAGCGAGACATGCGCTCCCTATGGATCCAACGCATCAATGCTGGCACCCGCATCCATGGTGTATGTATTGAATTGTGACTATTATCTTATATGTGATGCATGAGGTACTATTGGTTTGAGAGAATTATAGCAGTTTCTCATTCACTTGGTTTTGGACTTCAATCAAAGTACTTTTCCATACACTTCTGTTTGCTATGTCTATTTAGTTATCTTTATCCAGTGAAATTATTTCTGAGTTCCTTTCTATATTGCCTACAACTTGGACGCAAAGGAGTGAGGGAGAAGAATAAACGTGAAGAAAGATAGATGATGAGTATTGATTTGGTCAAAGATTGTTATCTTGTGCAATAGTAGCCAATACTTTGTGTATATAGATGGTGGTGTGGCAGTAGAGTAAAAGGGCCATCCTATTGATATGGCAGTGAGTCAATGACTCTGGTGATGTGATGCTGTAACTGAGTCTCAACATAGCCTCACCATCAGTAGGGCATGTAGGTCTGCTGATGTGGATTTTCTTTAAACAAAATGTGAAGGGAACTGTTTCAGGTCATTTTGGTTGGGGATAATTCAAGAGACCTTTATTCCTAGATTGCCCATTTTTAGTCACTCTGTACTTCTCTTCCTTTCCTGGCCCTCCTGCATTCCTTTCAGTCTAAGATTGCGTTGTAATAAGTCATGTTTTGTTGAAAATCCTGATTATTGAAAATTAAGGACTTGAGCTTTTCAATGTACTGCAGAACAATTAACTTCATATCAGTTTTTGTTGGTTTTAGGAGTTAAAAGATGGGAAAATGAGAGACTATTTTATATGCTAATGTAGAAACTTACCTCATAGGAAAGTAAGAGAAGCATGGGTCATGTATCCTAACCCGGGTAGAGTCTTTTTTGTTAAGTTTTGTTTTGCCATTGTGTCTAGAGGTTGCTTAGTAGCCTTGGTTGCATAAAAGATCAAGAGGATTGTTCTTTCTCCAATATTGGTTAAGCATATTATGGTTGTATTTTTTAAGATATGGAAATCAAGAGAATGGAGAGTAAACGTCTAAGAACTTGGTTAGTGAAAAGTAGATGTAAAAAAGTAAAAAGAATAGCATGTGAAAATAAGGGTCCTCATTGGAATTCTTGGAATTGGTTACAAAGATTGTTAGCATGTAAACCCTGCCTGTGGTCTTAAGAACTTTGCCCAATGTTTTCAAATTGACTTCAAGTTTTTTGTTTGACTTGGATATTCTCTGCACTACAGTACATCCAAATTATATTTTTATGGTCGGGTTTGGAAAAACTAGGAAGTTGGGGAAAGCTACAGAAGTTTAGATTAAGGTGTGAGGAATCATATGTATCTTAGACCTTCTGGCCTGAAATCTGTTGAGCTGTTGAATTGGTAGAAGCTGGAATATATTGCGGATTTGATGATCCTACGCAATTTGAGCGGTTTTCCTGTTAAAAAAATAAAGGAAAAGTTATTTGAGTGGTTGTCATGTGATTTCCTGTATAATATATGTTTTCTACTGAATTCTGATCTCCCTTTTATTTTATTTTTGCTGTTGTCATCAGGTTAATTATGGGAATTTCATGCATGGGTTGATGAAGGAGAACATTCAGCTGAACAGGAAAGTTTTGTCAGAGCTGTCCATGCACGAACCATACAGTTTCAAGGCCCTGGTAGACATCTCTCGCACTGCCTTCCCTGGGAACAAGAACGTGGTGCATGCTCCCAAAAAGGAAGGCCTTTCAATGCTTGTGTAACTGACCATTTAGTTAAATCCATCTTTGCTTTATATTTTAGAGCTTGTATGGAACTGAACTTTCTGAGTCTCTATTTTTGTCTTTTGGTCCTTTAGATTTTGGTTAAGATTATTGCTTGTTGATGCAAATTTTAGTGACCTTGCTAGCATTTCTCTTTTCCTCCTCCCCCCACCCCCTTATCTGAACTGAGACCTCTCCATTCGGATGGTCGTGTATGCCGTAGACATTCGTTCATGATCATCGTTCCATACATACAGAGGAATCTAATAATCTAGTAGGCTGATAAACAAATTTGGAAATGATCTCTGCAGGTAGAAAATGAGTAAAAGCACCTCCCCTAGAATGTTATATCTGAGTGAAAGTGTAGGGACAACAAAAATAAGTCTTGAAATTGAATTTTAAAATTTTAATATTAGACTAAACCAGCAAGCACCTCCCCTAGAAAAACTATACACATATATTCTGTTGATGAAGAAAGCTTTTATATTAAGAATTGAAAATTGAAAAGGCAACTGTATCTTCCTTAGGAAAATTATTGGTGGCCCGAATGTTACATGAAAGGAAAATTTATATACCAAGAATTGGAGGAAACAGGTACTGAGTAACTCAGGTGTATACCATATTCATCCAATAATAAGATTCGATGTATATGACAACAATGGAATGAAAAACGCAAATATACCAAAATTAATCGGATTCAATGTTCTTTGAGAATGAAAGGACATTTTGACCTTTCTGTATTATATTCAATGTTCCATGATGAATCTGCACAAGACCAACTAAACATTAGGAATTTCAAATCCTAGATAAGAATAAGGGAGAACGAATTTCAAATTATAATACATGTACAACAGTGTCCGAGATTCTAATTTGTAATATAGTATTTGTTTTGTTTATAAATTTCACATGTTATAATATTGGGGATTGACAAGATTATGATCAACATTGGGATCCTACCTTTGTACCTATCCATGCCAATTTGCCAAAGTTTGGTAATGCCAAAAAACAATACCATATTTATCAAATAGGAGGAGAAGGTAGCAAATTAGGAGGAGAAGGTGGCAATATATTCTTGGACAGTGACACGTCAAACAACACTGCAGAAGCTGAAGCTTAGAAAGCAACAGGTATAAAAGAAAAAGATACCAAAGAAAGAAAGAACCATTTGAATTCTTTCTAAATAAAAAAACCAGTGTCTTACTTATACTCTTTAATGATAGTCGTTTGTTTCTGACAAGCAGCATCGTCCTCTTCTTCCTGTAGACTTCTGTTGTCGTTTTGGGGTCTCCTGGTGGCCGGTATCTCTTGCCATTTTTGTTCCCATTCTCCACTTACATTTATACACCCCATTTTCAAACCACACTCTCTTTCTTTCATTCAGAGGTTTCTGGAGTTGCAGCTCTCACAATCTCTGTGTGTTCGTTCTGAGACAAGTACAGCCATGTCTTTTTCGCACCTCAGCACTCTTAATGTTCCACCTTTTCCTTATCATCAGGTTTCTCTCTCTCTCTCTCTCTCTCTCTCTCTCTCTCTCTCTCTCTCAACATATTTCATTTGTTTTTGTTTTGTTTTGGGATTATGCTTGATTTTCTTGAACTGGGTATTTTGTGTTTATGTTGTTACTTTGGTTATCTTGACGGTATTGATGTCCGAACTTTAGAATTTTTCTGTCATTGATCTCAAAAATTAGTTTTCGAGTTATTAGTGTCTCAGGTTGTTAAATTCTTCAATCCAGGCTTGGTTGCAACTTGAAGAATTAACCAAAAGAAGGTTCTTTAATTAAGCAAATAAAATGCCATTTTGACACCTCTTGTCAGGATTCATTCAAGTTTGAGAACCTGATTTATCTGTTCACTAGAACATGCATGTAAAGTATCACACAGGAAGCATTGGTAGCATTACTTCTCAAGAGTTGCCACTAGAAACTAGGAATATATTGGTAGATAATCAAAGAGAAGAATTCAGAAAAAAATATTGCGAGGAGTCCGAGGACTAAGGATTTATCTTTAGGATTTCAAGACTCTTGTCTTTGTAGTCTCTCCATCTTCTCTCTTATTGTAAGAAAATATATAAATTTATATATAAGGTGGCTCAAAAGAGCAGGAACTTCAAAAGTATGGTAAAAGGGTAAGCAATTAGAGGACTTACTAAGACTCTTAGTGGGAGAATGTGGAGTCCAAAAAGCATGAATGTAGAGTCCAAATTGCATGAATGTAATTAAGAGATAAATTAATGAATGTGTATTCGAATCGCTTTGAAATGAGTGTAACTAAGGCAGATCCCTTATGTACTAGATCAAAGTAGAAGGTAAAAGACCAAGAGGCTGACCAAGACTAATGTGGAAAAATCAATACAAAATACTTCAAACAATGATTTTAATAGGAGATATTGTACAACATGGAAAAGAATGGAAAGCAAGAATTTGTGTAGCTGATCATATATTAATGAAACACAGTGGTAAAAACTGTTGACTGGAAATCTTATGCGGCAATCTAAGCTTCAGACTCTAAGTTGAAAACTGCTGCATAAGCAGCAAAAAGTTTATTGTCCATAAACTGTGTAGTTGAACTTAAAATCTTGAGATGGATGGGCAGCCATATATACATTAAAGGATGTCATCATGTTGATGCTCAAAAATGGACCAAGGAGTCAACAATCAGTCAAATCAGATAGATTGAGCTGTGTGTATCTTTTCCCTGCTCGGAGTGTCCGAGCAGTCTGCAAGACAAGACACCAAGTAGCCAACGAAAGGCACCATACGGTACTGGCCTACGACCCTTGGATGCCCAATTCAGCAGAGGGAATCTAAATATTGATTTTAGCAAAATCTCAGTAATAGAGGGTAATAACTGCATACCTTAAATGGGGTGAACAATAGGGTATTTATAGTAGCAATAAAGGAGTTCACCTTTGTGGTATTTATATGTAGGATTCGTGCATATTGATTAGGGAATGCCTGGCACGTATATGTCCCTTTCTCAATTCCAGTGTGGGAATCTTTTGAGGTCACTTGGTGTGCCTTCTAATGATGCCATATGGAATGGGAATGCCAGCTGGTGGAGGGTCTCGTGCTACCAGCAGGTCCCATGGTAATGACTGCGGTAGGTTCTGCGGAAATAGCATGGCCCTTTACCAACAGGCTGCTCGGTCATTCAGGTACCTTGTGAGCAATTGGGATCAAGCTACGGTGCTAGGATCTCCGAGTCAAATGGTCCCTATGAGGATAATGCCGACCTTGCTTATTGCGTTAAAGGAGATATCCTTAGGCTTGCTCAAGGATCCTAAGCTCAGCACTCTGATAGTGCCAAAGAGTTTGTGATTACTTTGGGAGGAGGTTGTATGCATGAAATGAAATGGTGACAAACAATCTGTTGACTTATGTCGGATGCTATAGCAATAGAGAAAACTAGGTAAAACCAAGATTGGATTCATGGAAACATCAAATAAGTGAAAGATATGATATGGTTAATTTCAGTGCTAATTTGGAAGAAGAAGGTTTTGTTTTAACTGTTTCTTTTGCGGCTTTTTTCTATGATTGGATTGTCATAGCTTGAAAATCTTTGAACATGTTCCAACAAAGAGATAATGAACTTATGTTTATACAAAACACAAATCCGAGTGTCTACTTATGATGCTTACTATCTCGGGTTTCCCTATAATGCAAAAACACTGCTTTTTGGGTAACCTACATTGAATTTCTGCTCTATAATATTTATTTTTTTTTCAGAAAAAATTCATGGAAATCATATCTTGCCACAAGCAGCTTCAACAATCCCGACATTAAATGGGGAAGCAGAGGGCAATACTGCTGGTTTGGTCAGATTTATCCTCTACTAGTTCTATTATTTCCTTTGTAGTATTTTATATCATATTGTTGACAGTAAACGTGTCTTTTAATTTTAGCAGAATTTTGAGGGTACTAAACTGAGAATAAAGAAGATGTTCAACAAGGTTGATCTCACTGTTTCCTCATATGACACTGCTTGGGTGGCAATGGTCCCTTCTCCAAATTCCCTGACGGACCCTTTTTTCCCTGAATGCGTAAACTGGCTATTGGGAAATCAACTCCATGATGGTTCATGGGGTCCTCCAAATTTGCATCCCTTGTTGATGAAAGATGCTCTCTTGTCCACCATAGCATGTATCCTTGCACTAAAACGGTGGAGTGTGGGCGAAGAACAAATTAACAAGGGTATATCTATTGTTCTTGCTTCTTGTTAACTGCCAAGTTTCCTCCATTAATGTTCTATAAATGAACACCTCTCTTTTTCTTTTAGGGCTACATTTTATCAAATCAAATTTGGCTTCAGCTAATGATGAAGAGCTACATTCTCCTGTTGGATTTAATATAATGTTTCCTGCGATGATTGAATCTGCCATGAAGTTGGATATGAATCTTCCCCTGGGAGCACCAACTCTAGATGCTTTGTTTCACAGGAGAGAACATGAGCTTAAAAGGTATATTTTGTTTCTTCTTTTCTTGTTTTAAGTTTGGTCCTATCTCATAGTTATTTATTACTATTATTATTGTTGTTGTTATTATTATTATTTTATTGTTCTTTTTTTATCCTATCACTAGGCTATCAAGCCAGGTGAGCTCAAATCTGTAGATGTGGAATTAGCTTTGTCTATTAGATAGGAAAGGAATGGATATACGTGATACAATCAGTTCATGTGCTAGTCAAAATAATGGAAATGCACTGGTATGGTTAAATTTCTATATTGCATCCTAAATTATTCTAAAAGATCTCCATTCCAAAATGTTATCATTTAGCGGTTATGGAAGCAACTCAGAGGGGTGGAGAGCCTTCTTAGCATATATTTCAGAAGGATTTGGAAAATCGCAGGATTGGGAGTTGGTCATGAAGTATCAAAGGAAGAATGGGTCGTTGTTTAATTCACCGTCAACCACAGCTGCTGCTTTTACTCACCTTAAAAATGCTGATTGTCTTAAGTACCTCCGCACACTCTTAGAAAAGTTTGGAAATGCAGGTTCGTCATTCAAAATTTTCCATTAATTTTCTAGGTGTATCTACTATATCAGGATAAAGTTTAATCGATTATTTTCAACTTATTATTTTCAGTTCCAACGGTTTATCCTCTAGAGAACTATGCCCGTCTTTCTATGGTTGCCAGTCTTGAAAGTTTGGGTATTGATCGACATTTCAGGGAGGAAATAAGAAGTGTACTGGATGAAACATACAGGTAATGTTTCCTATACATGTATGCACCAGTGAATGAGGTGTTTGGGTGTAGCTTGGACGACAAATTAATTGTGATTATTTTAATCATTCTCAAGTGAAATATTATATTTAGAGATTTATTAGTTTTCATCCATGGGGAAGTATGACATTAGCCAACAAACAGATGCTGGCTGCACGGTGATGAAGATATATTTTCTGATGCTGCCACCTGTGCAATGGCATTTCGGCTCTTACGTGTTAATGGATATGATGTTTCTGCAGGTATTATCAGTTTAGGTGCATTGGTCTTCATGAGTTTGTTTTTGGCAAAAAATATTTAATTGATTCATGCTGTCTTGTAGATCCATTAAGTCAATTTTCAGAAGATTGTTTCTTTAATTCCCTTGGAGGATATTTGAAGGACATTGGTGCTGCCTTAGAATTGTTGAGGGCTTCAGAATTCATCATACATCCAGATGAATCAGTTATGGAGAAACAAAATTACTGGACAAGCCATTTTCTGAAACATGAGTTATCAAATACTTTAGTTCAGGGTCATATATTCAATAAGCACATTGTCCTAGAGGTAGCTTGTTATGAGAACTCTTATCATATTGATTTGGTGTTTTAGCTTTTTGTAATCCCTAAAAATGCAACTTTTGATTGTCTTCAGGTGGAAGATGTTCTTAAATTTCCTTCCTATGCAAATTTGGGTCGGTTGTCAACCAGGAGGGCTATAAAATATTACAACACAGATAGTACAAGGATTTTAAAATCTTCTTACCGGTAAACCTCTAGCATTTTCTTCCACAGCCCCTGTTGTTTTTTCCTTTTTAAGAAGAAATTGATTTCTGCTGAGTTATTATAACGGACCAGTGTATTACTTACTGATTGGTGTGCTCTTCTTATGTTAGTTGTTTGAATATTGGCAATGAAGATTTCCTAAAATTGGCAGTGGATGACTTCAATATTTGCCAATCTATACACCGTGAAGAACTCAACCATCTTGCAAGGTACATATTGTTACTACACTCTCTCTCTCTCTCTCTCTCTCTCTCTCTCAAGCTGAGCTTCTTGTTTCTAGATTTTCTGCTTCTTGCTTTCATTGCTTAAAGGAATGCAGAATATTTGTATTTTTTTATTTATTATATTGTGATTTCCCTCCATGTAAGCAGGTGGATTGGGGAGAACAGATTAGACAAGCTAAATTTTGCTAGGCAGAAGCTGGCATACTGCTACTTCTCTGCTGCTGCAACCCTTTTTGCTCCTGAACTATCAGATGCCCGCATATCATGGGCCAAAAATGGAGTGCTTACAACTGTGGTTGATGATTTCTTTGACATTGGAGGTTCTGAAGAGGAACTGGTAAACCTCATACAATTGGTCGAGAAGTATGTTTCCTTTTCCCATTCCTTTCCTATTATTTTTTATTTCTGACAGAGGTCTTAAAAGTTCGTTGTAATTGGACCTCAGGTGGGATGTGAATGTGAGTGTTGATTGTTGTTCCGAGCATGTTGAAATTATATTTTCAGCACTTAAGAACACAATTAATGAGATTGGAGTCAAGGCATTCAAGTGGCAAGGACGCAGTGTGACAAGTCACGTAATTGAGATTGTAAGTTGGAATCTTTTAATTTGTCCTTGTTATCATTGCTTTATCTATTGAGTAATATCGGAAAATATTTTTCTAAAAGCACTAGTTGTCCTCCTAAGCAGCTTAAAATGCACTTCACATTCCTGAACACTCTCTTACACTGATTTTGATGGTACCTTATTCTGTCTGTCTGGTTTGATTTTCTATTCCCTCACTTCACAAAAGTAGAGTACATGACAAAGGAGTCTAAATGGTCTTTATCATGTTCATTCTTTTATTCATTTAACTAGGGATGAAGTGAGCTATCTTTGATTTTCAGTGGTTAGATTTGCTCAAGTCTATGTCGAAGGAGGCTGAGTGGTTGAGAAACAAGTCGGTGCCAACAATGGATGAATATATGACAAATGCATATGTATCATTTGCGTTGGGACCAATTGTTCTCCCCAGCTCTCTATTTGGTGGGGCCTAAGCTTTCAGAGGAGGTTGTCAGAAATTCCGAATTTTATAATCTGTATAGACTTATGAGCACTTCTGGGCGTCTCCTCAATGATATCCAAGGCTTTAAGGTAGACAACATCACCCCATTCTCCTTGAGAAAATAAAAAAATAAAAACCATATCCCATCTAATATTGTTAACTCATAACTCCTTGCTACGTTGCAGAGGGAATCTGCGGAAGGGAAGCTAAATGCTTTAACGTTGGCCATGATTCATGGCAACAGGGTCGTCACTGAGGAGGAGACTATCAATGAGATGAAGAGTGTTATAATGAGTAAGAGGAGAGAATTGCTAAGACTAGTTTTGCTAGAGAAGGGTAGCATAGTACCAAGAGCTTGCAAGGATTTGTTTTGGAATATGAGCAAAGTGCTGCATCTATTTTATGCAAAGAATGATGGATTCACTGCACATGATATGATGAAGACTGTTATGGCAGTAACTGAAAAACCCATCGTTGCCGATGAATTTTGTAACCAATCTCATGTGTAGTAGATTTCTCCATACAAAAAAATTGTTCTTTACCAGTCAGTAAACCAAATAGGGATGATATATGGTGCTTATGGAAATATGGATGTGGTTGATCAAGTTTGGAGGGAAAACTAATTTGAGATTATCTTATAGTTTTCTCTATGGCTGTTCCTTCTTCTATTCTATGACAAACCAACTCACTCTTTCTAATTGATTCATCTGGCACATGCACAGAATAGAATGGCTGCACATGACAGGCTAACCAATGAGATTGTAAACCTTCTTCATTTATTAATTATTTGCAAGTTAATATTAGTAAATATGTTCTATACTAACCACCACCAAGTTCTTATTCTTGTGTCAGTAAGGACAATCAAATCTAAACAAAAAAAAATATTATATATGATTATTGATATTATTAATTTGCTGTGTGGGCCCATAAATTGTATCACTTGAGGCACATAGGCAGAACAATTTTTAGCTATCTATAGTGATTTTCTGCAGATGCAAACGAATTTGTTCACATGTTTGTACGGAAAGCCAACTTTTGTCTTATTTTTTCTGTCCTACTTACCTATTTATGCAAATCCTATTGGATTTGGATTCTCTTTATTGTCAGTTTCAATTGCTGGGAAATCTGGAAGCACCACAGTGTGATTGCATTCCTCCAAATCCTGATGCTTTCATTCTCAAATGAAGAATGCTTGGCTACGCAGACATCATTCCATGTAAAGAGCTAATGCCCTGGATCATCCCAAAATGCGTCATTTATGAAAACCAATACTGGTGCTGCATGCATGGGATCATTCTATCCCATATATCTGGTACGCATAGCATAGCTCTTTCTACTGCTTCTATTTTCCATTTTATTGTGTTTTGTTATGTGGCCTTTGTTTTGTGCATTCTTCTTACGTTTGACTTGGCCCCTGCATCCTCCTCTTGCTGGCTGCGTCGATTCTTTCTTCCTTCTTGCTCTGCCGTTTGGTTTGACTATATTCAGTTCCGACCAAAAGAAAGAAAACAAAGTTAAGTCAAAACGTCGAAGAAACATTGTAGAAAATCTACCAACAATGTAAAATTGGAAACTCAGAATGTAGCTTGGATTGGAGAGCAACAAATATGAATAAATTCCAATAGCCATCCATGACTTAATTTAAACTTTAGAGCTTCCTATTGGCCGTATCTTTGATTCCCCTGCCATCTTAATTCTCAGGCTCTCCATTCACCACATACTTACATACATACACATACATATTCCAACTCTCTCATTCAAAGCTTTCTCTTTCCTTTTTGGAGTTGCAACTGTCTGTCACACTCTTTGTTCATTCTGTACAACCATCAACCATGTCTTTCTCCCACCTTAACAATCTTAGGTGTTCCACCGTTCCCCCCTCAGGTCTCTCTCTCTCTCTCTCTCTCTCTCTCTCTCTCTCTCTCTCTGTGGCCATATTCTATTTTTTGTTTATTTATTTTTTTGGTTTATGCATGGTTTTCTTGGATTGCGTCTTTTTATTGAATGCTTAATCCTCTGTTATCTTGATAAGTTTTTGTCATTGATGCTCCGATATTAGAAATTTTCTGTGCATAACTTCCTAAATTTGTATTTTGAGTTATTATTGTCTCAGGTGTCTAAGGTGGTTTTATGAGAAATTGGAAGTTTAAGGTGTCTAAGGACATCTAAAATCAAGATTGAACTCATGGAAACCTCTAATAAGTGGAAGATAAGGTTAATTTTTTGTTTTCAATGATTGGATTGCCACAAATATGAAATTCTATTAGCATGTAACCTATAAGAGGTATAAGCAAAGCATATAATTAGAGTTCTCTCAACTGTTTAGTATTAATTCTTACTATCTCAGTTTTTGTCTATAATGTAAGAACATTGTTTTTTGGGTTACCTGGATTGGATTTCTGCTCTTTAAGATGTACTTTCTTTAATAATCTGGAAAAAATTTATTGCCACAAGCAGCTTCAACAGTCCAGAGACTAAATGGGGCAGCAGAGAGAGAGAGCAATACCGCTGTTTTCGTAAGACTATCCCTCACTAGTTCTATTGTTTCCTTTATACTCTTTATATTGTTAACAATGGCAAAAAGTGTTAGTCCAATCAGAATTTTGAGGGGACTAAAGAAAGAATAAAGAAGATGTTCAATGAGGTTGATCTCACTGTTTCATCATATGACACTGCTTGGGTGGCAATGGTCCCTTCTCCAAATTCTTCAAAGGACCCTTTTTTCCCTGAATGTGTAAATTGGTTATTGGCAAATCAACTCCATGATGGCTCATGGGGTCCTAAGTTTAATCCCTTGTTAATCAAAGATGCTCTCTTATCTACCTTAGCATGTATCCTTGCACTAAAGCGGTGGAGTGTTGGCGAAGAACAAATTAACAAGGGTATATCTGTTGCTCTTGCTTCATGCTAAGTTTCCTTCATGCTGTACTAATGAACGCCTCTCTTGCTCTTTTAGGGCTACATTTTATTGAATCAAATTTAGCTTCAGCTACCGATGAAGAGCAACAATCTCCTGTTGGATTTAATATAATATTTCCTGCCATGATTGAATCTGCAATGAATTTCGATATGTATCTTCCCCTAGGAGCACCAACCCTAGATGCTTTATTTCACAGAAGAGACTTTGAGCTTAAAAGGTATGTCTTGTTTTCTTTAGAGGAACAGATATATACAACAGTAGAGTCTAGTTCATATGCTCGTTACAACGCATGGAATGCACTGAAATTGTTAAGCGAAAAATCTCTGTTTGAAATATTTTAGAGGCTATGGAAGCAACTCAGAGGGGTGGAGAACCTTCTTAGCATATATTTCAGAAGGACTTGGCTCACAGGATTGGGAGTTGGTCATGAAGTACCAAAAGAAGAATGGGTCCTTGTTTAATTCGCCATCGACCACAGCTGCTGCTTTTACTCAACTTAAGAATGCTGATTGTCTTAAGTACCTACGTGCACTCTTAGAGAAGTGTGGCAATGCAGGTTCTTCACTCAGTACTTACCATTAATTTTCTAGGCGTGTTTATTATATTAGGTTGAAGTTTAACCGATTATTTTCGATTACCCTTTTCAGTTCCAACGGTTTATCCTCTAAATAACTATGCTTGTCTTTCTATGGTTGCCAGTCTTGAAAGTTTGGGTATTGATCGAAATTTCAGGGAGGAAATAAGAAGTGTACTGGATGAAACATACTGGTAATGTTTCCTATACATGTATGTATGCACCAGTAAATGGTGTGCTTGGCTTTAGCTTTTGTGAAACATTAAGTTTAGATAGATTGTAGCTCTCTTCCATGGGGAAGCATGACATTATCCAATAAACAGATGCTGGCAGCAGGGGGAGGAAGATATATTTTCAGATGCTGCCACCTGTGCAATGGCTTTTCGACTCTTACGTGTTCATGGATATGATATTTCTGCAGGTATTTGTCAGTTTAGGTGCCTTGGTGTGCAAGACTTTGTTTTGGCAAGAAATGTTCAATTGATTTATGCTGTCTTGCAGATCCATTAAGTCAATTTTCAGAAGATCATTTCTTCAATTCCCTTGGGGGGTATATGAAGGACATTGGTGCTGCCTTAGAATTGTTTAAGGCTTCAGAAATCATCATACATCCAGATGAATCGGTTCTTGAGAAACAAAATAACTGGATGAGTCATTTCCTGAAACAGGAGTTATCCAATACTTTAACTCAGGCTCGTAGACTCAATAAGCATATTGGCCTGGAGGTAATTTTGTGATAAGTCTCTGTTGTTGATCTGGTGATTTAGCTTTTTATAATCACAAGGTAATTCCCTCAAATTTAACCTTTTGATTATTTGAAGGTGGATGATGCTCTTAAGTTTCCTTTCTACGCAAGTTTGGGCCGGTTATCAAGCAGGAGAGCAACAAAATCTTACAACACAGAGAGTACAAGAATTTTAAAATCATCTGATAGGTAAACCTCTTGTATTTCCTCCTGTCTCTCTCTTCTTCTCCCTCTATTTTAAGAAGAATTTGATTTCTGCCAAATTATTATGAGGGATCAATGTAGATTACTTATTTATCCTTGTACTCTCATGCTAGTTGTTTGAATATTGGAAATGAAGATTTTCTAAAACTGGCAGTGGAAGACTTCAACATTTGCCAGTCTATACACCATAAAGAGCTCAACCATATTGCAAGGTAGATATATCCACTTGACCTTGATTTCAATTGAAACAAGGGAAATGCAGGTCGTGGAGGTGGTTGCTTTCGTTGTTTTAAGGCAACGCAGAATATCTTTATTTTATTTTGTTTGATTATTTACGATGTCCATCCTTGTATGATTATTTACGATGTCCATCCATGTAAGCAGGTGGGTTGTGGAGAACCGATTAGACAAGCTAAAGTTTTATAGGCAGAAACAGGCCTACTGTTACTTCTCTGCTGCTGCAAACCTTTTCGCTCCTGAACTATCGGATGCCCACATGTCATGGGCCAAAAGTGGAGTGCTTACAACTGTGGTTGATGATTTCACTGACGTTGGAGGTTCTGAAGAGGAGCTAGTAAACCTTATACGATTTATCGAGAAGTACGTTTCCTGTGTTCCCATTCCTTTCCTATTTCCATTGGATCAATTTGTTGGTCAGCAGTTTATGCTTGCGCTCCTTATTTTGTTTTTCTGGCATTGAGGGCCTAAAGTTCCTTCTGTCTGAACCTCAGGTGGGATGTGAATGTGAGTGTTGATTGTTGTTCCGAGCATGTTGAAATTATATTTTCAGCACTTAAAAACACAATTAATGAGATTGGAGTCAAGGCATTCGCACAACAAGGACGCAGTGTGACAAGTGACATAATTGAGACTGTAAGTTAAAATCTTTTATTTTTCCTTTCTAAAAGCACTATGTCTTCCTCAACAGCTTCTTTTATCAAGTTCAACTTGTTTTTATTCATTTAACTGGGGATGAAATGAGCCATGTTTGATTTTCAGTGGTTGGATTTGCTCAAGTCTGGGCTGAAGGAAGCTGAGTGGTTGAGAAACAAGTCGGTGCCAACAATGGAGGAGTATATGACAAATGGATATATAACAATTGGCATTGGACCAATTGTCCTTCCAGCTCTCTATTTTGTTGGGCACGAGCTTTCAGAGGAGGTTGTAGGAAGTTCCGAATTGCATGAGCTTTATGGACTTATGAGCACCTGTGGACGTCTTCTGAATGATATCCAAGGCTTCAAGGTAGACAATATCCCCACATTATTCTTTCGAAAAGAAAAACTAGTATCCAATTTGTTATCGTTCACTCATAACTCCTGGCTGTGTTGCAGAGGGATTCCACTGAAGGGAAGCTAAATGCTCTATCGTTGACCATGATTCATGGGAACGGTCGTTACTGAAGAAGAGGCCATCAATGAGATAAATGGTATTATAAAAAGTAAGAGGGGAGAGCTGCTACGATTAGTTTTACAGGAGACGGGTAGCATAGTACCAAGGGCTTGCAAGGATTTGGTTTGGAACATGAGCAAAGTGCTGCACTTTTTTTATGCCAAAGATGATGGATTCAGTACACATGAGATGATGCAAAGTGTAAATGCAGTAACTGAGGAACCCATCATTCTCAGTGAATTGCGAGTAAAAAGTAAATAAATGGCATTTGAATTGAAGCTGCAAGCAGCAAAGAAATACATATAACTGTTTTACATTTACAAGTCATAAAACATTATGGAAATGTGGATGTGGTTGATCAAGTTTGGAGGGAAAATAATCTTAGATTGCTAGTTTATGAATTCTAATTGGTAGAGCAGAGCATATTCAAATGCATCGATTGAATCATTACATGGACTGCCGTCAGCCGTCAGGCAAATTGAATTCAGCATAGGCTTCTGTCCCAGAAACCAAATTTTTGGATGTGAATTTTCCATAAGAGGTGGTAATAAATAGGATATAATCTGGTCAAACCAGTTTACTCTGATACAAACCAGAAGCAGAAGCAATACAGGATAAGGCCAGAGAGCATAATTATGTCATGGTTTTTGTTTCTGTAATGTTGTATTTGTAGCTATTATTCTACATGCCCCGTTTGTCTCAGTCAGCTAATAACACCAACACCTTTTGTGACAGAACAGGTTAACAATAGTATGTAGAAGGTTGTCTCAATGATATTATAGACAAGATCATGCATAATCCACTGATAAACAACTTGGTGCTTTCTAGGATTGTTGGGTTGTAGGTTGAATTATCAATCAATTTAGATTATGTTGTTTTTCATCAAGTTTATCACCCAAATCAGTTAATCTTTATGAGTCATTCACTTACATTAGTCAAGTGTGGAAAATCAATCATATAACTATCAAGCACAAAAGAACACACCAAAAAAAAAATTGCAAACGCTCGGGCCAGACAACCCAGACTAGTCACACCACAAACAAACCAAACGAAAAAAGAAAAAGGAAAGTAAAGGAGCAAAAGAGGGACCAAACAGCCGACATGAATCATGAATCATGAATCATGATAAAGGCCAACGATCCTCGGTAGTGAGAGCCGAAAGACACAGACGTTTTGCACAAGTGAGAGGAACATCCTCCCACTTTGTAACTCCTTTGATCGAGTGATTTAATTTTTTTTAATTTGACGGTCTGCTATTTATAGGCCCTACCTATGTGGGGGCCACCTCTATTAAAGAGAAGTCCAGATCTCCAGCGTTATCTCTCCACGTCAACCACCTAGGAGAGAGAAGGCCTAATGAATCTTTAGGTGTGAGGTTTTATCACAAAATGTCTCAGTACAATTAATAGTGGACAACCTATATTTGAACTATAAATTATTGTTGTATTCTCTGATGTGAGACTTACATATCATGAAGTTCATATACATGAATAAGGTATTATATTCCCAATAGCGCACTTACCAAACACCGAAATGCAATTTAATACACATTCCCAAGCCTCTAAACCTTGAATCAAACGAATGTTAGGAATTATAATTAAAGTCTAAAACAAAAACAACAAAATTTCAAAAACAACCTGAAAAATAAAATGTTCTTTTGACCTTATCTCGTTCTCTTCGAACTGACGGGTTATGATCCCAATCGGAGCTTGAGGCCCAAACCTGCAACAACCAGTTTTCATGACCTTGTGCGCGCATCGGTCCAATTGCCCCTCAATCTCCTCTGCAAGCCGTTCTACATCAAATACTCTAAAATATAAAAATATATCTTCCACCCATATTATCATATGTGAATTAATAACAACTGTGTGACGATGTGATCGTCATGCTTTCTCCTTTTGACCCTCTCTTCATTTATTCATCTCTTATTAATTAAGACCTCCTCGGATACGTATATTGTATGATCAACCTCTGCAAAGAACACCACACAACAAAAACACATGTTTGGTACTTTTCCATATATTTCAAATGTCTAAGCAATTTGGTGAAAGACTCAATTCATCAATCGAAGTCGTTGAAGGTAAAGATTGCTACCAACTTGTAGAGCGGAACATATTCATAACACCTTCAAACCAATTTAATGTGCCTAGAATTTAATATAAAAATATAATATAATAGTGAGTCTGAGTGGTTATACAACTAATAGTACCGGATCTTTTATGATAAAACAATTTAATACATAAAAGGTTTTCTCATTCATATATAGATAGATTATAATTTAGGCACGATCCACTACCACTTGTAATAAATAAACAACTTGGTGTGCTGTTTAGGTTTGATTTTCTGGTTTGTTTGTGCGAAACACGCAAGGATCTATCTTTCTATTATATGTTTGAAACGCGCAAAGACCTTGACGTTTTAATCCACTACATAAACACCTTTTTCTTTTTTGTACCTTTATCTTTTGCTTTATCTTTATATTTTTATCTTCTTCTTTGAAACGTACAAAGACATATTTCTATCTCTAGAGGTCAATTTGGTCTAATCCAACCCAATAATTAGACCTAGGTGGTTAAGATGAGGACAATATCAGTGCATGATTTGAACAGGTAGTGGACTCTTATTAGGCCGTCGGCACAACACTAATAACTATTACTAGTCATAAAACCGTATGGTAATATGGATTATAGGGTCCTTATGGAAATATGGATGTGGTTGATCAAGTTTGGAAGGAATCTAATCTTTGATAATTTTAAAGTTCTCTATATGGAGTGTAGTGAGCAAATTTAATTTTTATTTTAAATATTTTTTGTCCTTAACAGTAATTATGTACATGGGTAAAATAAATATAAATTTATAAATAAACCCAATCCTAGACATGTATTTATAAAAAAACCCAAGCACTATTTAAACATAGAAATACACCCAAAATCAACCCCAAAGTCAACTTTTTGGGTGTGTTTATAAATGAGTATTGAGTGTGTGTAATGATGGGTTTTGGGTGTGTTTATATGTTTAAATAGTGCTTGGGTTTTTTTATAATTTCAACCCCCATTTTGGGTGTTTTAGTGAAATCCCCTAAAATAAATTATTCATGTTAAAAATTAATATGGGATCAAAAGAGCAAATTATGGAGTTCAAATAAAATCATCCTTAACTAAAATTGTATGTGTATAAGCTACAAATAACTGTTATTTACTAGACATAAAACAATATGGAAATATTGATGAAAAGATTTGAAGAGCATATTGATGCCTTAGTGTTGTTAGCCGCCGTGCCTGATGCGTGATATTATAATTTTTTTTTAATTTTATATTCTTCTAGGAGACTTAAATATCGTGATTATTCACAACAAAGTGATTAGGTCTTGTTTGAGAATTTTTTTTTTGGCCAAAAACTTGCTTCATTTTAAAATTAAGCAGTTTAGGATGTTTGATAAAAATAAAATATCTCGATTATTTTAAAAGCAGTGGCCTTTCGATAGCAGCTATTAAAAGCAGGCTCCGAGTTGCTTTTCAAAGCTACTTTCGAAATAAGCAGAGACATGCAACACCTTTTAAATGTGGAAAGACCTTGACTTTAGTTTTGTTTCACGAAAGATGCAACTTATATGGTGTTTACTGGGATTATGTAATGTATAGTGTGGGTGTGGGATTGGTAAAGGAGGAGCGAAAACTTATACCCGGGACCGGCTGGCTGTCATAAAAATGGTTCTCAAGGCCAACGCTGTTTACATAAGTCTCTTTAATCCTATTGCCGCTGTTCTCATCCGAAGTATTGTTTGTCCGAGTTTCCCATTTTTCAGAAACCAGTTTAGTCTCTGTCTCGGCTCTCTCTCTCTCTCTCTCTCTCTCTCTCTCTCTCTATATATATATATATATATAGAAAAATTGTATTCGCCTATTTCTTTAATCACAACTAGATAATTAACTTTTTGGAAGGAGGATATTTAAATAGAGACTAAAAATAGTTTACAATGCCAAGCGGGGCTCAAAAGGGGTTGTCAATTGTTAAGCATGATTGGTTATTATTATTAATCAAGTTTTTTATTGTCATTGCAGAAGAGAAGAACGGTTAGGGAGTTTATGAAGATGAAGAATATCAACCTGGTAGGCACCTAGTGCAAGTCCTAGTAAAGGCAAGCCAGTGCCACCATGTCAGTCCAGGGTCAGGGGTTGTCGCGGCGGGTAAGTTTCAGGCTGGGGCCAGTCTTTCTCGAAATTGGAAACATTTGCAGGCCGGCCCAGACTGAACTAGGAGTAGAATACTAAAGCGGAGGGGCGGAGTCCATGAACGTTTAGACTGGTCACACCTGACCCTTCTCAAATTTGGCATATCTTATAGTTATCTCTATGGTTGTTCTGCTTCTCTTTTCTTTATTGGCCACGGCTATTTTACTTATTGTACGATCATGTGGCTCAATTCATTAAGGCATTAGAAGGTTAAGATTGCTAGTTATGAACTCCAATTGGTAGAGCAGAACATATTCAAATGCATCGATTGCATCGTTATGGACTGAGCCAGCTGCGTCTGGCAAATTATAAATTCAGCACAAGCTTTTAGTCCAAGAAATTAAAATTTGGGATGTGATTTTTCCATAAGAGGTGGTAATAAATGGGATAATATGGCAAAACCATTTTACACTGATACAAACCAGAACTCAGTACTTGGATGAAAGGATAGTTGACGTTGAAGATTTTAATCAAGTTGAAAAACAATATACATGCTAAAGTTCATATGAAATACAGTATGTTTAAACACGAGGATGGTCTATTTGTTCAAAATAGTTGTTCAATTTAGATCGTAATGAGTTGTTCAAGTGTAGTGTCGTCTGGTCCTCTACAGGAAGAAGCCGGTTGGAACGATAATACCTTGGAAACCATGTGCATTGTTGGCCTGGATTGTGGATGGGAATGTCTGCATGCAATTGATAGCCTTGCAATGGTTATGAGTTCATCTAGAACTTGAGGCGTTGGAGGGGGAAGGCGTTGGTCCAGTACATCCTTGAGCA